CCTGCAGATGACTCCGCGCCAGGGTTCTGGCGACCTTTGTCAGCAGCTGCATCATCAGTCAGTTTCTGTTGGTCGCCAAACTCTTTGAGGACTCTGAAGCGTTCTTCTCTGGAGAGAGTGCCTTCTGCGGGTGTCCCCGCTGTTACGGCTGGCGCCGCTTTAGCGGGTGGCCCCGCAGAGCCCTTGTCCTCCTTAGCCTTGGCGGCCGCTTCTGCCCGCACCGACCTCATCCCAGCTTCGGGCTTCGGCTGCGCTTTCATTCGTGCCGAACCTGGTCGTGGTGCAAGGCGTGGCTGATGCAGCGTTGGAGTCCAGTCACCTCGGAACGCTGCCTTAGGCTTGTCGCGAGCTTCGTCCTTGACATCGCCTTGGGTCGCCGGCGGCATCGGGGTCGATGGTCCAGCAAAAGCCTTCTTCCTCTCTGTCACGGACGGACCGGGAGGACCTGCCGGCTTAGGATCGTCCGTCTTGGCAGTCCCTCTGGCCTTCGCCCGCTCATGGGTGCCTTCGGGGCTCTTGGACGGTTGCCTTTTCGCGGGAGTCGGTGAGGACGAGGAGTCGGCTTTAGGTCTCGGCGGTGGTCTGCTGCTCTTGCCTGGTCGTGGACCAGGAGGGTCTCTAGGAGGGCCTTCTGGCTGGCCATGATCATGGATGACCTGCCTCATCTGGTCGATGTCGGCAGTACCCTTTATGGCCAGCTTGTACTTGCCATTCTCATGGCGGTAGAGTACCCTCGTGCAGAACCACTTCTGCGCCGAAGAGCTGTAGTACCAGCAGGCGCTTCCGTCAGGGAATGGATTCTCTGAACCGTCTTCCGCCGCCCACTCTTCATTTAGCTCAGTGCGGTCAGTGCCGGCGGCGGACCCGGCAGCAGAGGCAACGTCTATCCACTCGTCCGCAGATCCAGCGGCTGGTGCTGCTTCTGCGGGTGACCCCGCTTCCTTGCTGGATTCTGCGGGTGACCCCGCTTCCTTACTGGATTCTGCGGGTGACCCCGCTTCCTTATGGAATCGGCGGTTCCATTCCATGAGGCGGTGGTCATTGGGGAGCTTTGCCCAATTTTCCTTGACGATGTTGGCCACCTCTTCGGTCATAGGGACGCGATCGGCCTCTGTGATACGCTTTCCTCCTCCAGGAACCTCTTTGTTCGGATCATGGACGTTACCCGCGTCGTCTCCATGAGACCAATTCCACGGGGTCTCTCCATGGTGAGGGCTCCTGGAGGGGCGGTCCATCGGACACCTGCGCATGTGGCCTTTAAAGGGCTCACACTGACATACTTGCTTTCTGTACGTTTTGCGGTCAGTGATGATCTCCTGCTTCTTCGCCCTTTTGTCCCAGGCCTCTGGCGTCTTGGTCTTGCCGCCCTTGGTACGGATTATCGCGCCAGTCTCGTCCCTTTTGGCACAGTATTCCTTAGAATACCAGTGCCGAAGAGTATCCATAGAGTAGCCGGGGTACCATCTGATGTACCAATCCGGCACCTGCTGAGCAGATACTCCAACGGAGTGTTCAGTGCTGTATGGATAGCCCGATTCATCATGCGTAGGGCGTCTAGGAGCTGAGCGGCTCCTTCCGCGGGCTGGCCCCGCTGACGCACTATCACGTGTCATTGGCCTTTGATCGTCATGCTCTGAGTCTCGGGGAGGCGATGGTCGCCTGTCCCTCTTGGCGTAACGCATGTCCTCCGAGTCCTCTGAGCTGTCCTGGACCATGAACACGTTTTGATACGGGCTTCTGAAGTATCCGATGTCATTTAACTGCTCCATCGAGAGGTCGTTAATGTTCATTTGATCGCAACCTTGCATGAATACATCCATAGACCAAGCGGGTGGCCCCGCTGTTGTGTCTAGCATCTCTTCGGCGGGTGACCCCGCTAGAGCTTGGAGTGCTTTAAGCATCTGAGATGCTGACATGTTCGAATCCAAGTATGGACGTAGACGGGCAACTCCTGGGTGCGACAGCAGTTCGTTCATCGTCATCTGCTGCTGTGCTGGCGCACTCAAGAGTCGGATTGCTTCTGAAACCTGCTCTTGGAGCATGTCGTTATAATCTTCTTCGGATTCTTCGGAGTCGGAATACGCGGGATGGCCCCGCATTTCGTCATCGGCGTCTCCCATCTCCGAGCCAGCCCACGACGGACTTGGCAGCAACGGCATGCCAATCACTTGTGGGGCCAGCGCGGCGGTGAGTTCTTCCTCTGTTGCCGGGACAGTCTCGGCTTCGGAGACCTCGTCACCGGCGGGTGGCCCCGCTGGAAGACCGAACCAAGCATTGTACGCAATCTCATCGACCTCGTCCCAGCCGTGGAACTCGTCGAAGAGGGTCACTGCGTAGTCTTCCAGGGCCACAGTTGCTTCAGCATAGCGGGCCATCACGTAATACGTGGAGGAGCCCGCAGCGGGAGCCGCTTCTGGATTGACGTAAAACTCGTAGTCAATGTAATCTATGTCATCCATAAAAGAATTTTGAGCCAAGTGTACGGATCCCTTTCCTTTCCCCTTCGGGCATTGATCGCGCAAATGCTCTGTGCTACCGCATGTATGACACTTCATAGTATTACCAGAAGCGTCCCTAGGGTTGCCCCTCCGCCCCTTTCCCTTACCGGAGGTCCGCCTGTGACCCCGACCTTTGCCTCCGATAAGAACTTCTTCAAAAGCCATATCAGTTAAGGACGTGAGGAAAGCAGTAATACCCCTACCATGCATACGGCGTCTGCGACCCCCTTTACCACGACCCTTTCCAAATTGTTTGAAATGTCGGCGTACTGCACGTCTCACTTTTCTGACTGGTTTCTTCATAAAGCGCCTCCAACGGCGTTTTGATTTGCGATAAGCCATAAAGGCGGCTTCCGCCCTTTGCTGTTCAGAAAGGTGAGTGTCGTCCGCTGGATAGTCATTACCAGCAGAGACTATTCCATTGTGCTCATCGTCAGATGAAGTATCTGTGTCAGTGCCAGATTCAAACGGTGAGGGTGGCTGAGACCATTGAGCGGATGACTCCGCTTGGCCCCAGAGGGTTGTGCCCGAGGGCGGGCTTGCAGTGTAGGCGGCGCCTGGCGAGTAGTTCGACCAGGCGTTCGCCTCAGCTGCCTCTGCCGATGCCTGGCCGGTCTGCCCTAGAAGGGCAGTGGCCTCGTTGGGCATATCGGCTGGGTCAGCCCAGGGATTTGGCTCGCCAGGACCAGCGGGTGACCCCGCAGTCGTGGCGTAAACACCTGCATGTGAGTGGTGCCCTGTGAAGATACCCGCTATGTTACCAGGAGAGCGCTCGGCAACATGTCCGTAGTTCCTCATCCTGGTCAACAGCCTGTCATAGTCTGCTTGTGTTCGGGGCATCTGATGATTGAAGGGCTCAAGCAGGTGTTGGGCTCGTGACGCGCCAACGCCTAACGCTCTGAAGAGAATCAGCGTTAGGATCTGAAAGTTGGGGATGACAAAGCCAACAGAGTTAGCCTCGTCACGGGCCATCTCGAATCGAGCTAATACTGAGTCGATTCGCTCGCCCCTTTCGACGCGGAAGTCGATAAGGGCCGTGCCAGAGTTGAGCTGGCGCTCATCTTCCAGATTTTCAAATTTGGTGCTCAGTAAGTACAGTATATATGTTACTGCATCCGTTGGCTGTCCATTGACAGTTACACCATAATTGATGATCTGGGAGGGGACCTGCATGGCGATACGACGAGCCAGACCTTGAAGGCCTCGTTGTAGTGCTGCAGCTTGTTGTGGTGGTGTCATATTGCCGCTCGTTACGTTTAACCATGCATGTACTTCGCGAACGTATTCGCGGAAAGGCGTAGTACCGGCAGGGTCCCATGAAGGGCCAGTAGTACGCGTGTCGTCCATCCCCTGCCGCATGTATCCCACAGCACATCCCATTATCACCCATAGAATGCCGAAGATAGTTATCTTGATCCAATGCATATGCATTTCGGCTTCGGTGATTGGTTTAGGCTGTGGTTTGTCAGGCTCTGGCGTGGTAGCCGTGAGGCGCCTGACCGGCACGGGATGCAGGTGGCCCCGCTGCGGGTAGCCCCGCAGGGTGACCACGTTCTCGATCGAGTTGCCGATTGGCATCTGGTGGAAGTCAGGAGTGAAGTAGCGCAGTGAAGTAGGAGAAAGCGTCTCGAGTTCGCGGGTGACCCCGCTAGCTCGATCGCGGACTGGCTCCGCTCCTCGCAGAGCCGGCGCAACATGGTATTCCACCGTGGTAGTAGTCCACCAAGTTGTGCCGTGGATTACTGGAATCAGAGCGAGAGCCAGCCACACGAGAGTGTAGCCAGCTCCGCTACCAAGTCGAAAACAAGCTGGTAAGCTTAGGTATACAGTCCGCCTTAGGCGCTTCCATATCCCAGGCTTAGGCTCATAGCGCATGAGCAAGAGAGCGAGACGAAGCATGGGATCTGGAGTAAAGAGTAAGATGGGCATCGTCAGTGGAAAGGATGTTTTCCGATCTCAGATGCAAGTAGTGCGCCTCAGTGAGGCACAGTCACATATCTGGCCGGGCCCGGCTTGAGCCAGGCACGGCAGCGGTACATGCTCGATTTATACCTCGCCTTTAACCTTCTCCGTTTAAAGTAAGACTGCCCCACGGCGGTACGAGCCCCCATATCCCCTGATGAAGCACTGGCGACTGACGATCCGAACTGCCCTGATACAGGTGACCCCCCCACCCCGGGACGCTGGATTTCATGGGTTGGTGTTCGTTCGTAGGTGTTTGGGAGTATGCCTACATACGTATGCACATGAGAACAGATTGCGCAATGCAAGAACTACAGGGTACAATTTGCGTCGATGTTCGGCTGTGGGGACCCCCCAAATACCCAGAGGGTGCCCAAGCTCCGTGTGGCACCTACTGGTATGCCGAGTTCTCATATGATGTGCATCCCCCAAGCCAGAAATCGCGGGCCTGCTGGAGGATCATTCACACAGCTTCCACGCACCCATGCTCAGCACAGCTCAAGAGGCTGGCGCCTGGTGGCGTAAGCCTACTGGATAGTCAGGTTGCGGAGGGGCGCGATGGGCATCAACGATGCCACCGTGTTCTCGAGGGGCCAAAAAGTCCATACTGCAAGGCGGCCCCCCCCTGCTCACACGCTCTCCCTTCCCTCCCCCTCTCCACGTGTCATGTCCCGTCTCCTCCTCCATCACCTCCCCTGCCTCCATCTCGGCTTCCTCCACAAAGTTTCCTCTTACTTCTTCTGCGCCTGCTGCTGATGCCGCTACTGCTGATCATCACCCGACCTTTCGCTTTCCCTCTACTCCTGCCCCTGCCACTCCCCCAGATCCCTTTTGTCTACCCCGTAGGCCTTCCTCTGCTCTTCCCCTCCCTCCCCACCTGTCCTCTCTCCCGCTCCCCCTCCCTGCCCCTCCCACCTCCTTCTCATCCTCCTCCTCCTTCTCCTCCTCCTCCTCGTCCTCGTCCTCGGCCTCCTCGTCCTCCTCCTCCTCCTCATCCTGCATCCCCTTCTCCTGCTCCTCCTCTTCCTCCTCCTCCTCCTCCTCCTCCTCCTCCAGCTCCTCCTCCAGCTCCTCCTCCTCCTCCCCTTCTCCTCCTCCTCCTCCTCCTCCTCCTCCTCCTCTTCCTCCTCCTCCTCCTCCTCCTCCTAATGTCCCCGGTGTCCTAAAAGCGGTGGGTATCCTGAGACCATGCCGCAACCTACGTCTACGCAGGAGCTCTCCCAGGGACGGTCGGCGGCGAACAGCGACCCTCGGCCCAGGACCAACAACTCAGGGATCCGCGAAGCAAGCTCGTGAAAACCTAGAACGCACAAGCCAGGGCGATGCACGGCCGTCTTACAAATCACGCTTGAAACCTGGCGCCGAATTCGGGGGGAAGGGGAGCCCCCAGTACACACTCGATTGGTGTTCCCTCCCCGCTTGGAGTTCATCCAGAGCCTTCTTGGCCAGCCGACTAGCTGGGCGACGCTCGGTGCGCAACACATGCGTCTAAGCGCAAGCCCCGCAGCGCAATGTCAGCCGTCGGGCGTAAGCCTAACAGCGATTGAAGAAGACAGGGGCTTCTTGGTTCCCATCGGTCTGGACCCCTCCCGACGACAACGCACCCCCCCACAGGCCCCGACGACATCGAACATCGAACGACCCAGAGCCGATGGGAGCAGTGATTCAAGGCAGGGCCCCGACGCACGGATCGAACGTGAACGTTGTGAGACCTCTCGAGCTCCAGCTTCGGAAGCGGACAATTCACGCTATTACGTTGAAGGTCCTATTTGCTAAAGGAAACGAGTTTTTTTTTTGTAAAATGATGTTACTCAGTTGCGCGGCAGCCGCGGTGGCGCGTCCGAGTTTCCAAGCCACGCCCTGCGCTCGCGCCCTGAATCTCCTGTCAAGGAGCATCTACAGCTCGCTGAATACATGTCCGAAGATCGTCGCGAACCGATGCAACGCGACCCTGATTACTCGAGCAAATGCTTCGCGGGGTGAGCTGGCAGGGAACACAGGAGCCCCCCGCCCCCCGACCGGGCCCTGGCCCCGCACCCCCAAGGCTTTACTGAGGCATACCGCGGCCTTGACTAAAGCGAAGAAGCGGCTTTACCGAAGCGGGGAAAGGGTTTTACTAAAGCGAGGAAGCGGCTTTACTAAAGCGAGAAAACGGCTTTAGTAAAGGCGCGCCACTCAATACATTCCGAAAAACTACGCCCCACCAAAGCAAGAAGAAAGCTTTAGTAAAGCGGAGAGACGGCTGGGGTGAAGCTGCGCGCAGAAATTTCGCTCCTCCCATAAAATCTGGCGTGGGACTCCAGGAAAGAGGGCGGGCGGCAAGTTCGCCCGTGGGCCCAGGCCCTGTCGCCGCCGTCGCCGCGATTTTCGTCGTCGCCGCCGTCGCCGTTGCCGCCGTCGCCATCGCCGTCGGCGCCGCCGCCGCCGTCGTCGTCGTCGTCGTCGCCGTCGCCGTCGTCGTCGCCGTGACGCCTGCGCATTCACGATATTACCAGCGGCGGGTCGCGCGTGGCCGCGCTCGCATTGCCGCTCCCCCGACGGGGGCCCAGGCGGACATCGTGCTTCTTCTTCCACCCACAACAAGTTCAAAGTAAGAATGGAAAAATTACGCCTCGGATAGCTGAATCCCTTTTCGGAGCCCCGCGACGGCCTGGGAGAGGGCCCCTGTCGGGCCAATCCCGGCCTGCGAGATGCTTCAGCACATGCCCATGATGAATCGAAAGTTGTTCAGCCGCTTCCTGGGCTGCAGCGAATGGGGCCTCGCACTCGGGGGGCCCAGCGCGCGGGCGAAGCCGCCCTCCGAACTTTGCCAGCCGATCCGCCTCCTTCTTGCCAATGTGGCGGCGCCAGCTCGCCCCCAGCAGCTCAGCCACTCGCCAGGGCGCGCGCTTTCACCCGCGCGAAGGCAACCTGATCTCGCCCAGCATCGTTCACAAGGAACCACAACTCGCGACACAGGTTGGCATACTTGCTCAGGTGGGAGGCGCTGTGCTCTTCGCCATGGTGAAATCGCCGACGACGCCTGTGCAATCGCTCACGGTCGTCAAGTGGCCGCGCCCATTCTCGCGAAGGACCCTGACCACCGCGCGCAGCTCAGCGCGCCCGATCTCCTGGAAGTCGCCAGGCACGCAGCCGCACATGCAGCCAAGGATGCGCCCGTCCGCCGCGATGGCCACCGTCGACTCGCCGCTGCGAGCCAGCTGCGCGCATCGCGGGCACGCGAGGGAGCCGCCGACGCACGCGATGCCTGTCCTCATCTGCCTGAGACCGACCCCCGCGCGGAGGCAGAGTTCGGCCCGAGACAGCGGGGCCGCCTCGTCCAGCTTCACGTCGACCAGCCCGCGCCGCACCCCCCGTTCGCTGGGGGGAGCAGCCCCCCCCCGCGGCCCCGACGCGGGCCAGGCCCGTGCCCCTCGCCGGCGCGCAGGTCGCGTCGCAGCAGAAGAGCCCGCGGTGCGTGGTGCCCAGGGCGGCATGGCACCAGTAGCCTGTGGGTCGAGCTCGGCCAACTCCACGTGCGCGCCGCGCTGCGATACGACGCCCCCCGTCACCAGCGACCCCGCGAGGTGCGCCGCCTCGAGGTCCCCAGCCCCGCGCAGCGACCTGGGCCCTGCGCGCAGCGGCTCCAAGGCAGGCGGCCGCTCAGAGCACCTCGAAGACCCGGTGCTCGGTTGCCCGCTACATCGGGGCCCGAGTCGTGCAGGCCTCAACCTGGGCGGCCACGAACTTTGGGCTAAACCTCGTCAGGTCAAGCTGCATGCCCTTGTCCGTGGCCCGCGCGTACCACTCCGCGAATTGCCAGCCGATCCACTCGAGCGTCAGCTTCGCCGAAACGGTTGGCCCCCGCATCTCGCTACACGCTGTCGCGCCCGTCGCGATGCGGGTGGCCTTCAGCGCGGCGGACTTCCTGGCCGCGGCGAAGAGCCTTGGACCTGGCCGCCAGGCCGCCAGGCCGCCAAGGGGAAGGCCGAGGCGGCGCGGAAAGGGATCCCGCCTCCAGCTGTCGCCCTCCTGCATCGCGAACTGCAGCGTCCGCGATCTCCGCCCTGCCTCGCCGCCAAAAGGCGCGGGCGTTGGCGGCGCGCGCCCGCTGCAGAGCCGCGGCGGGCACTCCTCGCGCCCGCGCGCCGAGCAGCGCCGAGACGAGGCCGCCCTCGTGGAGGATCTCCCCCATCTTCGCGCCAGCCTTCCGCTTCGCCATGTATCGCGAGGCGCGCTTGCCAAGCTTCTGAAGCCTGGCCCGCAGCGCGCCCCAGGGAGCGCATTTGCCCGTGCCGAAATCGACACCGACGTTGCGGACCGAGCTGTGGAGCCAGAGCTTCCACTTGGCCAACTTCCTCGTGACCCTCTGGCCCGCGCAACAATCACTGCTTTGGCTGTTGCCCTTCGTGAGCGCCATCTTGAACCCGATCCGCTCGAGCTCCGTGCATACGGTGTCCGCGCCTCGACAGAGAGCAATCTCCAAGTCGCGGAGCTTGACGTGCGCCGCCAGCGCGAGGCCGTCCACCACCACGCACAGCCCGAGCGACTACCATGCCGCCTTCAGGGCGTCAAGCGGACTCAGCAAGACCACGGGGAACAGCATCGCGGCGAAGGTGCAGCCCGCGACGATGGAGAGCCCCACCTGGCAGCTGACAGACTTCCACCTGCCGACGCACAGCCCCCGCCGCTTGCCGTCGCGGATCTTCAGCAGGAGTCTGAGCCTCCTCATCGGGAAGCCGTGCCGCCTGAATGCTGGCACCAGCCCTCTGTGCGTGACTGGCTCGTAGGCGTTGCTCAGGTCCGGCGTGGACGTCAGGCCGCGGAGCGGCAGCGCCTCGGCGCGCTCCGCGTCGAAGGCCTGCCCCCAGACGGCGTCCTCGCAGGAGCGCCCAGCGCCGCCGTAGGAAGCACTTCTGCCATGGTGTCTCTCCCTTCCTCGGGCCTGGGGCGGCCACAGAATCGGACCAATCCATGAAGCAGGCCTAGTGGGCGCCAGCCGCCGTCGGACTTGGCGAGGAAGAAGATGAACACCTCCTCGGCCTAAAACGGGACCCACGGCAGGTACTGCATCCAGCGCGGGAGCAAGCAGAGCAGAGCGGCATAAGAGCGGCCTCCAAGCCGCCGTCGCCGAGGTGCCCAGACGAGGGTGGCCGACATCGCCGGCGGGTCGGATGCTCCGCCGAGTGTTTCTTTGTTGCGCGCCTCTCCGCTGCGCGGCGGTCTCGATGGGAGTCCCGAAGCCGGCGCCATGGCTGTCGAGACAGCGGCGCGTGGGGGAGGGAGCGGGGTACTGCCTCCCCACCACCCGTCGGTCGGAAAGAGTCGGCGGAAACATGAAGTGGGAAGGCGCTGGAAGTAGATTGGGTTTCCGCCCGCCCCCTGAAGAGGAAGGGAGAACGGCAAAACGCCCAATCCTTGAAGCAGGAAGGCGCGTAAAGTAGGCTGGGATCTGGGAGTCCAAGGATGCCTACTTCCAGCGACCGGCGTGTACTGCTTCGGCGGCGGGGGTCGGCGGGCGGGACGGGCGAGGGAACGCATGCGCTGCACGCCTCTGCTCCTGGACCTTGCGCCCCTCTGCCACAGCTGTCCTGGCCGCTCTGCACGGGCGGTCCTGCCGAGCGCCAGGGTGCCCATGGGCCTGGCCGCGTGGCGTGGGACGCAGAGGACAGACTAGTACGATGTGTCCTCCTCGGGGGCGTGCGTCCGACCCGAACAGAACGTTCCCCGAGCGGCACGGCCAGAAAGCGCCCGCCGCCATGCGTATACGTACGATCAAATTTCTCAGTGCGCGCGTCGCTCCTGGGGGGGGGGGGGGGGGCGACGCACGCATAGTGTCAGTGTGATGGGGTGACGCCGATTGCCTGCCGTGCGAGGCCGACGCGGAAGCACACGACTGGCGTCTGGCGGCGAGACTGCCGCGCCACGGTGCCGGAGCTTCCCGCCCTGCTTCTGCCCGCCCGTCGTTGTGGCGCGATCGAGCGCAGGAGGCGGGGGAGATAACGACGATTTCAAAAGGGGCCCATGAACACACAAATAAATCAACACAAATCCCAGGATTCTCAGTATTTCCCATATTTTCTGGGTCTTCGTCGTCCCCCACACTTCCCATATGTTCTTATATTTTCCTTGGGGTCGACGATTACTTGTGTCTGTGTGCTCTTTCACCTCCTGAGATTTGCAGGCCGTGAGCTGCGAGTCCTGCCGAGCGCCAGGGTGTCGATGGGCCTGGCCGTTTCGCCTGCAGCGCGAGGCCGCCGCGGCCGCTCCAGGGAATGCGTCTGGAGGTGGGCTCGTCGTGCAACAGCTCATGCTCATCGGTCCGATGCTGTGCGCAGCAGCTGCGCCACCCCGAAGAGGGTTGGTGCCATCCCTCTCGGAGGGCGTCCGCGTCGGACATTCCAAGTTTCTCGCAGTTCCTCCGCAGGCTCGGGATCTGTTGTGTGCTCCTCGCGTTGCGTCCAGCGCCCCTCCTTTCCGCTGGTTCTTGCCATGATCGCTCGTCCAGAGCTGGCTGAGCGGATGCTGAAGGTACAGTGTTGCTGTTCTAGTTTGTGCTCCACGCGATCATGGACGTCACCACCACCACCACCACCATCAGCATCATCATCAGCGTCCTCCTCCTCCTCCTCCTCCTCTCTCCTCATCACCACCACCACCACCACCACCACCACCACCACCACCACCACCACCACCACCACCACCACCACCACCACCAACCACCACCACCACCACCTCATCATCATCATCATCATCATCATCATCATCATCATCATCATCACCATCATCATCATCATCATCATCATCATCATCATCATCATCATCATCATCATCATCATCATCATCATCATCATCATCATCATCATCATCATCATCATCATCATCATCATCATCATCGTCATCATCATCAACATCATCGTCATCAGCATCATCACCATCATCAGCCGCATGGTCGTCATCCTCATCACCAGCATCAACAGCATCATCGTCAGCAGCATCATCAGCATCAGCATCAACATCAACACCGTCATCATCATCACCATCATCATCATCATCATCACCATCATCACCACCACCATCATCATCATCGTCGTCATCATCAGCAGCAGCATCACCATAATCATCATCAGTATGACCATCAGCATCACCAGCAGCATCAGCATCGGCATCGGCATCAGCATCATCATCAACTCAACCTCCACATCATACCCTCTCCCTCGATGTGTATAGATACCTGTGCGTCTGACTACTATTCCTCCCCCTCTTTCCTCCACCTTCTGATCCTCCTTTCCCCTCCCTCCTCTGGTTCGCCATATGCCTTCGAATCCCTCCCCCTGGTCCTCCTAACCTTCCTGGTCCTCATGGTCCTCCTGCTCATCCTCCCCTCATCCTCCGCTCTCTCCGCCCCCAGCCCACCCACCCGTGCCCCCTCCGCTGCCCCCTCCTTCTCCAGCCCATCCCGTCCCCCCCCTCCCTCCGCATACCCTACCCCGCTCCCCCCCCCCCGCCCTCGCTCCCTGATCCGTCGCCTCGGAGCCCTTTCCCCCTCAACCTCGACTGCTTGAATGCTCGGGGGCGGCCAAGATGGGGCGTCCAAGAGGGGGGAGGGGCGCAAATCATGGCAGGCGGCACGTGCGCGGCCCAGGCGGGCCCGCGGGGAGGCAGGGACGCAATGAATTAAGAGGACGCGCCATGAAATCTGGGGAGACATCACGGCCCACGCCTTGATATCCCCCCCTAGTCATCACCCCCCTCTTGGCCGCCCCCGAGATGCTTTAGCTCGTTTCCCCCTCGGCCGGTCCCTCCGTTCGTGGTCTCTCCTCCTGGCCGTCGCTTCATCTCTCGGGCCCTCCCTCGGTCCCCTTTTCGTCGCCTCTTCTGCGGCTGCCAGTTGCCCGGGAACTGCTAGCGCTGGACCCCAGCCCAGGCCCAGGAGAGAGCAGACAGACCCTTCCCCCCTCCCCATCCCCCACTCCTGGCCAGCCACGACCTTGCCCCTATCTGATGCCAAACCTAGAGATCGTGGATCTGTATCACGCTGGGGAACTCCCCCCCCGCCCATGGGGGCGAGGGGGGAGGGGCGACAGCGGGCGAACAGAGCCGCAGGCCGCAAAGGGCTTCGCGCCCCCGCGGCCTCGCAGAGGCTCAGCGACGAGAGGCGCGGCGCGCCGCCCAGGTCCGGCAGGCCGGCGAGGTCGTTGGCGGCGGCGTCGAGGGACGTCAGCGACGGCAGGCGCAGCGCGGGCATCTGCGACACGGCGTTGTGCCCGAGCTGCAGCGTCTGCAGCACGGGGTGCGCCGACCTCGGCCGGCCTCCCCGCCCCCCCCCCTTCGGACTGCCTGACTACCTTCCGGGTTGGGGTGGGTGGGTACGGGGTTCCATACGTGTTTTTTTTCAGTTCCCCCGACCCCCCCCCCCCCACCGGAACTGGAGGGCGAATTGAGGCCTTCGGGCTGGGTTTTGGGGTGGCTTGGTGGGGGGTGACCTTCTGCTTCGGCAGCTCGTGGGAGCCTCGCGCACCACCATCCTGTTGGCTCGACTCTCGCCGGCGCCGGATCGGGGCAGGTCGACGCTGCGTCGGCGCCGTGCGACGCTCGTCGGCGCCAATCGACGCCAGATCGGCGCCACCTCATCGACTACCGAGCGCTAGTCGACGCCAGTGTACTCGAGAGACGGAACTGCGAAGGTATACGCTCGAGGACGGCGAGACGGTCTGGTTCAAGACGGGTGACTTCGACGGTTGCTGGGGCGCCTCAGGTCGTGCTGGAGTGCCTGAGGTCGGGCTGGAGGGACCTCGAGTCCAGCGAAACCAACCTTGTCCAACGAACCCCTCTGGCAGCCTTCGATACACGGCTCCCGTGACCTGCCACCGAACCCACCCGCCCCCGTCCACATCCAGGGTGCGGGCCACCTGCCCGCGTGCATGCGGGAGCGGCCGCTCCTGGCCTGGGCCTCGCTGAATCTCGCACCGCGCCCCCCCCCGTCGGTTGCCGAGGAGGCTCCGGCGGCCCCCGATCCCGGAGGCGGGAGGACCGAGGCGGAGCGTGTGGCGTCGTCCTCGGAGGCCTGTGCGCGGGGCCCCTCGGCCGCACGGGAGGGGTGCGCGAGAGGGCCGCCGCCGCTGTGAACGAGGCCGCGTGCCGTGACTCCCCCTCTGTTTTGCGCCGACTCGGCGGCAGATTTCTGTCCACGGATAGCCTGTTCGTCGCACAGCCACTTTCGATTGTCCCGCCGCCCGGAAGCTCCCGGCAGCCGCGGCTCGGAGGAGATCATTGTTAGATCGCATGTGTGTTGTTTATGTGCATGTGAACGCTGGCATCAATCATCGACGTCGGCGTTGCTCGCAATGGGGAGCACTGGGAATGCGAGAATTTAGTGCCCATCCGGATCCCCCGATCTGGCCCCCCGGAAAGCTGACCGCAGCATCTCAATAATCATGGAATCAGCCGCAAGTTCGGCCAACGCCCATGCCTTGCAGATTGCGGATTCCCGCAGGGAAAAGATGCCATCTCGTGGGGGCGTGTCCCTCACCTCCAGCGGGCCCGCTGGCGCCTCACTTCCGCGGGCCTCCGCCGACCTGTCGCCGCCTCCCGCCGAGGAAGAGAAGGCCCACGCCGAGGAGGAGAGGGGCCACGCCCTCGACCCCTCGAAGGCGAGGCCCTTCCTGGACCGCCGGATCTGCACCCGTACATGCCCTGTCGCCAGCGAGAGCGGTCGCACATCGTGTTCGGATAGCCGGCGAGCCGTGCAAAAACTATGGGCAGACAAATGCAGCTAGGGGGTGAAGAACGCGGGTGCGGAGGAGGAGCGCGGTAGGAGGCCTCAAACGTTGAAGATCTTCGCCATGAGGAGTGTGCGCAGGCGGCCTCAAACACCAGAAACTTGTGCACCAAATGTACCTGGACATGCGATCTCTTGACTTTTCAGAACTGGGTCCCCGGAGGTCCCAGCCATTAATGTCCCCAGGGCTGGTTTGTCACCACGGGCCGTTGTTCAACAGCCCGGGGGCCTGGCAAGGGCCCCCAAAGCCGAAAACTGGCAAAAGCCTTTCGTCGATTGTTTACCACGCGAGCGTGTCCGGGTGCGCTGCCCAGGTCCCAGCAGCACCCGGCCGAGGACGACTGGGGCGTCGGCACGTCGTCGCAGGCCAGCATGGCGTTGCCGTCGAGCAGCAACTCCCGGAGTGACGCAAGCGCGGCAAGGCCAGAGACAGCCTGCAGGCAGCAGCGCCTCAGGTCGAGGACCTCTCGAGGGCAGGGGGGAGGGGAGGGAGGGATGGAGGAGGAGGAGGAGGAGGAGGAGTAGGAGGAGGAGGAGGAGGAGGAGGAGGAGGAGGAGGAGGAGGAGGAGGAGGAGGAGGAGGAGGAGGAGGAGGAGGAGGAGGAGGAGGAGGGAGGAAGGAGGGGGCAAGAGGGGAGGGAGAATGGAAGGGCTCAAAGGAAGGGAGATGGGAAAGAGGAGCAGGAGGGAGAGCGGAGGGGAGGGGGCGAAGAAGGGAGGAGGCGAGGAGATGACAAGAGAAGAAGACGGGGTAAGGAGAAGAACGAGCAGCAGGTTCTAAGGGGTTCAGAGGGCTGTAGGGCTTCGATGGAAGGCATTCAGGGAGTTCTAGGAGGCTCCAGGGGGCAATTGGACGTCACACAGTCAGGTGAATAATGTTGGCAGTGAAATTCTAAAGCGCACGTGCACGTTTGGGGGGGGGGGCGTTTTCGGACGTGCATCATGTTGTGATCATCGTTGCGTGAGGGAGCCATGAAAGAGCCATGAGGGAACCATAAGGGAGCAGTGAGGGAGCCATGAGGGAGCCACGAGGGAGCCATGAGGGAGCCATGAGCCAGCCACGAAGAAACCATGAGGGAGCCGTGAGGGAGCAGTGAGGGAGCCATGAGGGAGCCATGAGGCAGCCACGACAATGACGACGACGACCGACGACGACGACGACGACGACGACGACGACGACGACGACGACGACGACGACGACGACCCACCGACCGACCGACCGACCGACCGAGACGACGACGACCGACGACGACGACGACGGTTGACCGACCGACGGATCTACCGACCGACCAACCGAGACGACGACGACCGACGACGACCGACGACCGCCCGACCGACCGACCGACCGACCAACCGCCGACCGACGATTGGAGCGACCCTTCGAAGTAGGGGTCTGCGGCGGAAGAGAGAAGATACAAGGAACATGACAAATAAGGTAATAGTAAAGGTTATTTGGGACTTTGGCGGCAATTCTACGCCTTGCGCTTCCCTGTCCCTGTTTATAATCTGGACGTGAGGACTAACCTCCACCTTTGATGGGGGGTCATGGCCGAGCCTACGGGAGCACCCTCGGGGACTTGGGGACTCGCTTCGACCGGGGCCCCAGGCGCCCGACCAGGTAAGAAATAGAGATGGGGTCCCGCGAGCAGTGCCTTCGCCCAGGGCCGCGCTGGTCGACCCGATTGGCCGCCAGCTCCCGCACGACTGAAAATATACAACGACCAGGACCGAGCGGAGGTGAGGCACCGAGCGTAGCAGGCAAGGCAGAGCGTTGCAGGGGCGCAAAGAGGAGAGAGGTGCGAGCGACAAGGAGGGGCAGAGCAACGACAACACACACACAAACAAACGAACGAACGAACAAACAAACAAAACACACAAACCAAACAACGCAAACAAAACAAACAAGGCGACTTAAACAAACAAAAACAAACAAAAACGACAACCACTGCACTTGTCTACCCCTTGTTGCGAAGCTTCTGATGAATTCGAACTCCCTCTTGGTAATATTATCCTGCACGGTGTGCAACTCGTACGTCGTAATTATGCGTGCCTCTCACGTCGCGTACCTCCATGGGTTTCCCGCTCCCGCAAGATACCGCTGGCGCGCCATGCCGCGCCGCCTCGTGGGCCCTGCTGACACGGTCGCCCTGAGCCCTGCTGGCACGGTCACCTCCCACAGGAGGCGCCCCGAGGCCGACAACATCGCATGGCGCCCGAGGCCGGCAGCACCGCTAGACAGCCCTCGGCTGCCTGCTGGCACGGTCGCTATGGACCCTGCCGACGCGATTGCCTCCTGAGGGGGACGCCTTAAGGCCGACAGCGTCGCCGGGCGCCCGAAGGCCAGCAGCATCGCCAGACATCCCTTGGCATCTTACTGGTCGTTGGGGCCCTCGCGAGAGGTCTGGTTCTGAGTCACCTCCGTCGAGTTCCTTGTCGAAATTGCTCGGGCCCTCAACTTCGCCGTGGCTCACCGCGCTCGACTCATCGCTGGGTTCGGGCAGCGCTTCTCCGCCGTGGCTGCAGCCCGTCTCCAACACCTGGAAACTGCGCCACTGGCTCGGGCCTTCGATGTGCGGCCCCCCCGCGAAAGGGGGCCGTTCGCTTCTCACGGGGTGCTCTCCACTGGGCCGTTGTATGTCCATTGCACGTCTGTCCGGCCCCATCCACGCTGTAACCACGTGGCGAAGTCCGTGGCGTCTCACCACGGTAGACGCCCTGGGCTGTGATCCTGGCTGAGGCCCTTGATCACGTCCTTGCTGGTGAGCTCGTACACAACTGGGAGGTCGCAGTTCTGATACTTGTAATAAGGATCAGATATGTCCACGGGCTTGTTTCGCAGCTGCGCCTGTACGTTGACCAGCTGCTCTGTGATGATGCCGCAATTCGTCAGCTGCATCTCTATATTGATGGTTCTCCGTCATACATCTTGACATCGTTGCCTAAGTTCACCGATTTCATGCGCACCAGTCTGCTCCGGAGCACATGCCTCTGCGACGGTCGCCCCTTCAAGGCCGCGTCCATCTGCTTCGCTGCGTCCTCGAAGTGCCCGTCTATTACCACAAGATTGCGTTGGGGGTGCTTGATGAAGTGCTCACCAATGCCCACCTGCTTGTTGTTGCATTATCCGCGGAAGTTGTACGTGTCGCTGCCATCCTTCTCCGAGCTAGTCCTATACCTTCTGGCACAGAATTACCCTCGAGGTCTCGCATAGTCTTGCTCGAGTCAATGCAGGCTACGGTATTTTGACGAGGGTGAGAGCGAGGGGAGGAGGTGGAGGAGCAGCAGATGGAGAGGGGGAGGGCGGAGGGGGGAAGTCGCAGTGGGAGCGAGGAGAGGGGGAGAGAAACAGACATGAGAGAACGAGAGGGGTTCGGGGATGGAGGGAGGGCAAGGGAAAGAGGAGGGGGATGGGAGCGGCAAGATCTGATTGATGACAAAACACCGACGGCACTGCTTGGACGACTACGGAAACGATGGTGCGCTGACGGAGCGTTTGGCATGTCTCTTACCCTCCGATCTCGCTCCTCCTCCTCATCCTCCTCCTCATCCTCCTCACCATCAGCATCCGCAGCAGCATCATCATCAGCAGCATCATCACCACTATAATCACCATCATCAGCATCATCATCATCAGCATCATCATCATCATCATCAGCAGCAGCATCATTATCATCGCCATCGTCAGCATCAGCATCGTCATCATCATCATCATCAGGAGCAGCAGCATCATCAACCTCATCATCATCATCATCATCATCATCAGCAGCATCATCATCATCATCATCATCAGCATCATCATCATCATCAGCATCATCAGCATCATCATCATCATCATCATCATCATCGTCATCATCATCGTCATCGTCATCAGCACCATCAGCACCATCAGCATCAACATCATCATCGTCCTGTCCTCCCTGCCCCTGCTCCACCTCATCCCCGTCCTCCTCCTCCACCTCCTCCTCCTCCTCCTCATCATCATCATCATCATCATCAGCATCATCATCCTTCTCCTCATACTCCTCTCCTCCTGCTCCTGCTCCTGCTCCTGCTCCTGCTCCTCCTCCTCCTCCTCCTCCTCCTCCTCCTCCTTCCTCCTGCTCGTCTGCCTTCGACCCCACTCCCCTCTCTTCAACCCTCCTCGGCCCCACACTTCTCCTGGAGCGCATTCTGACCTTCATCTCGAAGCTTATCCAGCTATGGCGGCGCCAAACACGAAATCCGTCGACCCAGCCCCCCTCCCCCGCCTCCCCCCCTCCCCCCATCCGCCCCTCACCTCCCCGACCACCCTTACCCCGTCCTCCCCCCCCTCCGCTTCGGATGCGGATGATATTGATGCCGAGCGACCGTGGACACGCACGACGCCGCGAGACTTTATGGAGGGGGCACGTGGACGGAAGAAACGAAACTGCTCCTCCCCCTCCGCCTCCTCCCTCTGTCGCGCGGATGTCTGCAGCTAGCCACGCCAACGACGAGTGTGGCAAACGGTGCAGATTGTGTGCCAGCTCAGCTTCGAAGGCCATTCCGTCTGAGTGGCTCGAGTCGGCGTGTTTCCAACCTCACAACCCTGATGTGAGATTACTTCATGTGTGGCCACGGGCTGGGTACATCCTAGTCACCACATGCATCTGCATAGACATGTCAAGCTTTGGTGTTGTGCTAGCTGCGGGTCTAGTGATAGTAATGTGATAAAGAGCCTGGGCCACATATGCAGCAAGACCACGACAACAAGTCGAACCGGGCATTGAAGTCGGACCCATCACGACCGCTGGCGGAAGACTCTCGGCAAGGCCGGGAAGCTCGCTCGCAGGCGCGCTCACTCCCTCACCGCCTCTCGGGTGCTCGTGAACGGAGGGCAATCAGCGTCGCCTGATGAAGAAACCTGCACCTCTCGCGTGCCTTCTGGGCCCGCGGTGGCAGCCCAGGGGCAGCTTTCAAAGCCCTATTCAGGGGCCACTCCCCCTGCGACACCTGCGACACTGAAAGCGCTTCGGCGAGCTGGCCGAGTGACAGCGGCCGTCCGCCCCACCCGCCCTCCCCCTCCACTCCCCGCCCCGGGGGGGGGCCCGCTCCGAGGCGCCGCCAGAGGGCCACCCTCGGGCCCATAGCCAGGGTTCCAAGACCGCCCCCCCCCCCCCATGGCCACCCCACAGGGGGCCTGCCGAGGCCAGCCAGGGCTGCCCCAAGGGGGGCCTGTCCGTGCGTAGCCCGAGGCCTTTCACCAGTCGCCTGGCCAGCCACCCACCCACCCACCCCGCCGCCCCCCTCCCCACACCCCCGGGGCCCCACCCCGAGGCCCCGGGGCCTCCCCGTGAGGTCCGACGCAGCGAATGAATTGAGACCTCGTGGAGAAACAAAAAAAACAAAACAAAACTGAAAAGAAAAGAAAAAACACAAATAGAGATCATTTTTTTATTCCGGCCGGTAACGCTCGTTACCCGGGGGGGGGGGGGTCGTGCCCCCCGGGTAACGGTAACGCTTGGGCTGGGCGGGGTATGGCGAAGCAGGGGCGCTCTGCGATCGCCATAGTATGCGCGCGAGCAGCACTCTCTGCCTGAGAGCACCACAGTGGCTTGCGATTCGAGTGCAAGCGCAAAGCCCGCCGCGTGGTCCCGGCACCACGCCCGCGCCCGCGCGCGCGACGACGATGATCGACGAGCGACGAGCGACGAGGTCGACGACGACGACGACGACGTTTGCCGCCTGTTTCGGCCTCCGGAGGCCGTTTTCGGGCGCCGTCGACGACGACGACGACGACGACGACGACGACGACGACGACGACGACGACGACGACGACGACGACGACGACGATTCGAGTACAAGCGCAAAGCCCGCAAGCACCAGCATCGCGCATGCGAGCGCCGCAATGGCCTGCGAGCGCCCACAGTGCGCCTGCGACCACCACACCACAGTGCGCATGCCTTCGGGCACCAGCATGTTGGAGGGGAAGACCGAGACCCCCCCCGCGTACGAGCGTTACCGTTACGGGGGGGGGGGGGGGGGGGGAGAGGCCCGGGTAACGAGCGTTACCCCCCAGAGGATAAAAAAACAATCTCATAAATACGACCAAAGCCTCGGACCCCCTCACTCTGCGCCACTTCTCTCGAGCCGGATCGATCCGTGAGGATCCCCGGGCCCCAGGCCGAGCGAAGACACCCGGCTCGAAAAAATTGGGACGCCAGGGTCTCAAGGTCCGTCCTCCTCGTGCCTCCCCCCCCCCCGAGCCCAATCGTAGCTCAAGCTTGATCCCCGGACCCTTCCCAGGGTCCAAACGCACCAATTTTCTGAGCTGCGCCTAGCCGTGGCGACGAGGGGGGCCCCAAAGGCCAACTGCCGTTGTCTCAACTGGCCCTCCTCGGAGCGATCGGTCTCACCACTTCCCTCCCCTCCCCACCGTGGGGCCCCCAGGGCGTGGATTAACCAGGCTCAGCGCAAACCCAGCTCAGCCAATGTAAAACAAACCGCTGCGGTTTTTTGTTTCGTTGGAAGGGCTCCCCAAACCCGGCTCAGCCGACGTGCCAGGGCCGCGAGCGGCTCCGAAACCCAGCTCGGCCAAACTCCGGCGTTGCAGGATCCTGCAGGCCCAGAGATCCGATGTCGTGATTTTTTCAATGCGGGGTCCCTGGAAGTCTCGATCCATTCCCTGGGACCGGTTTTTCATCCTGAGTCGTTTTTTCCAGTCCTGGAGCCCGGCGAGGGCCCCTGGAGGCCGAAAAGGGTGAGAAACCTCCGTCTCGATTTTTTCAATACGTTGGATCTCTGAGGGATCTGGCGCTCTCGCTGAGCCTTGCTTGTACCGCAGCCCTCCCGACCTTCGGCGTACGCTTCAGGAGCACAGAGACAACTGAAAGGCCTCTGCGCTCATGGCTGCACTGATTGACTTGTGGAGCTCGCTCGACGCCCTGGCGAGAACGGCCGAACGACCCGTCGCGCGAGACACTGTGCTGACGCGCTTCGCCGCCTGAGAAGATGCATGCTTCAAGGCAGGCTGCGAAGTGAGGAGCCGAAAACGATACACCGACGCTCTCTCCAGCCCCGTGCTGAGATTCGCACAGGAAAGCGGATCTGGGGTGTGTACGGGATCGGGCATGTACATTTTCCGTTGCTTCCCTGGGAAAGCGGGGAAAACGGACCACCCCGACGTCGTCCCCGACCCTCGAAAATTCCTGGGATTAAAAACGGCCCGCCACCGGCCATGCACTCCATACATGCTCCAGCTTCCGACGAGAGACACCGAAGCGGTATATCGACGCCCAGCCACCGGGGCCACCCGCTCCGAGGCCCCCCCCCCCGGGCCTCCAGCGTCTGGCTCGGGCGGCATCTGGCCTCCGTGAGCGCCAGGCCCGACGCCGCCAGCGCCCGCAGCGCCGGGGCCTCTCCAGGAGCCGGCGCCGCGCCGGGAGGAAGGGGGCAGGGAGCGGGGGGGCGGGGGCGGGGGGGCGGGGGTCGTGGAGCTCCGTTGCGGCCAGGTGTGGGAGGTGGATCAGACGAAGCCAGGGCGAGGACAAGCACTCGGATGAGGATGCATCGAGAATCTCTGAGCTCAGGCGGCTCTGGAGGATGTCTCGGGCGCCGCGGCCTTCTCAGAGCGTTCCGGAACGCTCTGAGAGAGTTCCGGGACGCTCTGGAACGGATCTATCCTCGTCCTAGCCCTGTCCGAGTGGAGGAGGTGGTGGAGGTGGAGACGGTGGAGGTTGGGAGGACTCTGAGGGGCAGGGAGGGGGGGGGGACCTGATCACTGGATGCGAGAATCTGCCGGTGGCGACCAGCGGGATCGGTCGCGACCGATTGTGAAATAGGTCGCGATCGGTCGCGACCGATTTGGACTGCCGACCAGTCGCTTCCGATCACGACCGCAAAAAAAATGTATCCAATTAGCCTGGCGAAGGACCCAACCATAAGCAGTGATACGCACTACAGTCGCGAGTACCATCGTCGGTGGATCCCCCTATGCGGCCACGACACGTTTGAGGGGTGTGCCAAAGTGGCCCGTCGGCGGCAGGCGGCCTTTTCCACTGGGGCTTTCGGTGGAGCTCCCCATGAGGCCACAAAACGTGCGAGGAGTGTGCAGAAATGGGGCGGCACCGACATGCGGACCCCCCTCACACGTTTCGTAGCCCCATATGGAGCTCCACCGAAGGCCCCAGTGGCAGGACCCGCATGCCGCCACCTCGCCATGTCGGCACACCCCTCACATGCTTCGTAACCTCATAGGGAGCTCCACCGAAAGCCCCAGTGGCAGGGCCCGCATGCCGCCACCTCGCCATTTCGGCACACCCCTGACACGTTCCGTAGCCCCACAGTGAACTGCACCGAAGGCCCCAATGGCAAGGCCCGCATGCCGCTACCTCGCAATTTCGGCACACCCGTCACACGTTTCGTGGCCCCTGTGAGAGCTCCACCGTAGGCCCCAGTGGCTGCGTTCGCATGCGGTTCCACCCCCCATTTCGGCGAACCCCTCACGCGTTCCGTGGCCCCACAGGGTGCTCCACCTGAGGCCCCAATTGCAGCGCCCGCACAGGCGGATTTTGGAAGGGAAAACAAATGAGTCCAAAACATGCCCCAACAAAAATCAAACATAGCATAATCTCGTCCCCTGACTATTTTTGGACTATTTTTGGAGATCCCTCATGCAGACGGACATGCCCGACTGAAATCCAAGATCGGGGGCGGCCAAGAGGGGGGGGTGCAAATCATGGCCGGCGGCACGTGTGCGGCCCAGGGGGCGGGGCCAGGGACGCAATGAAAGAATAAGGGGCGCCATGAAATCTGGGGAAATATCATGGCCCACGCCATGATGGTCACCCCCCCCTTGCCATCACCCCCCTCTTTGCCGCCCCCGACAAGAGCGGGCCTCCTGCGGGGCGGCACCGGCCCGGGAGTGGAGAGCCGCCCGCGGCGGCGCGCACCCGGAGAGGCGGACCCCCCCGGCTCCCCCTGCTGCAGCGGGCAGCGCCGAACAGAATCCCGGCCCTGCGGCCCGCGACGCCCACGGGGGGGGAGGAGCAGGAGGAGGGATGATCACCCCCAAAAATATTCCCCAATCAGTGCTTGCACTGAAGGGGTCATAGCGGAAGTTGAAAGATTTGGCGAAAGTTTCCCGCCGATTTTGGTAGCAGGCTGGGTTCCCGGGTTCCCGGTTCTGGGTTCCCGGGTTCCCGGTTATTGGTTCGGGGCCGCTTTCGGTGGGTTCTGGGTTCCCGGGCTCCCGGGTTCCAGGTCGATCTCCTCGGCGAAAACCAGCCACTGATTGGGTGTTTCTCTGGCGTAATTTGTTTTCCCCCCACAGTGCAAACTCAAACAACCTTCTGGGCGACGAGCGCTCTGCAACGGCAGAGTGAATCCGTCACAGAATACCTCTTGGAGGTGGTGAACACGTCAAGTGGTCAGACGGCACAGCTGTATGCCTTGAAAGATCCAGACCGTGTTGGTGTCTACAGAGGAGGAGGGAGGACGGAGAGTAAACAATAAAATTTGGCGCTCCGCACGGATGTCTCGGATCGGCGCCCGGGGCTACCTGGCAGCGCCTCCGGCGCCGCCCCTGGCGCGCTCCGCGCGCCAGGGAGGGGGGTCCAGCGCAGATCCAAGAAGTCCGCGGGGAGCGCCACAAGTTTAGGCTTATGGCGTCTTCTTGTTCTTCGAGGATGACCCCCTAGACCCCATGTCGGAGTGAGCGGGGGGACCGAACGGTCTTGCTTGCCCTGTGCGCGCGTGGCCGGATGGAGGGGTCGGCGTCATGGCACGATACCTGGAGGGCAGCAGCACGTGTGGGCAGCGCACGGGGGTAGAACGGCCCAGGCCCCCAAAACCTTCTGCTCGTCCCTCTCTCGCCTCTCATACCCCCCCTATCCCCTTCTTCCCCCTGATGGAGAGGGGTACAGCAGGTCCACACGATGAGCAATATTGATGTAAAAAAGCCTTGGAACCGTTTCCTTGTCGATGTTTGACGGCCCTGACTTCTGCGGGTCCCTGGGGCCGTCGGGGATTGAGACGCTTCCGTGGGACACCTGGTGGCAGGCCAATGTGCTGCTCGTCTTCCGCGCACGCAAGCTCGGCACCCGTCGACAAGCCTCACAAAGTTCACACATCAGCTCGCACTGCGAAACAACTCGCCTTGCCACTAGACTCGTGAGCCACGGCCTGAGCGAAGAGGGAGGAGGGCGAGGGCGAGGATAGAGAGTGGGCAGCGTGGCAGCCACGGCTGGCCGAATTCTTCTTTGATGCGCCTGCTGCAAGGAGGCGGGCGCAACACCAGGAGCCTCCAGCGCCGGGCCCACGTCCGCCAGAGCCGCGTTGCCGGACAGGTCCAGCGCCTCCAGCGCAGGGAACGCCGCTCGCGTGGGGAAGAGCGGCGCCAGGTCCTGGAGCAGGTTCCTCGGGGCGCAGCGGGGGGATCGGTATCCCGACCGGGCTCGTAGAGTCCGGGGTTCTGCTCTGAGCCATCGCGAGGGGAATGAAACTGCGGCGCGCGTGAACTCTGAGTGGCGGAGCTCGGTTGGCCGCAGGAGGGGGGGGGCGGAAGGGGGGGAATGACGAGGAGGAGGAGGAGGAGGAGGTGGAGGAGGAGGAGGAGGTGGAGGAGGAGGAGGCGGGTGCCGTGCACGGGCGGTGGGAGGGCTGGCGCTGATTCGAAATCAGAGAGAGGCGGAGGGGGGAAAGGATGAGGGTTCTCGGGCTTTCCCTCAAGGTTCGGACATGGTGTTTCAGGAGCGGGTCTTGAGACTCTCGGGGTTCGAGGGCGGAGAGGACGGGAGAAAGTGAGCGCTTGCGGTGATCCCAAAAGCCACAGAGAGACAGAGGCAGACAGAGACACAGACACAGACACAGAAAGCGCTTAAGAGAAAGAGAGAGAGAGAGAGAGAGAGAAAAAGAGAGAGAGAGAGAGAGAAAGAGAGAGAGCGAGACAGACAGACAGACAAAGACAGAGACAGACGGATAGAAAGAGAGAGAGAGAGAGAAAATGAGAGAGGGAGAGGTGAGACTGTGTGGGGAGGGCGGGAAATGGAGGGGGGGATCTGGTGACTTTTGGGGCCATGAGCACAACGCCACTACACGCCTCAATCCTCGCCGTATGTGGTCCTGAAGACATATCCTGTTTGCTCATGACGACACTGTAGAAATCGACTAGAAATCGATCGCGGTGATGCCCTCATACAGGGGGCCTCCAGTCAGTCCGGAATGCACGGAAAGCATGTCCCACTCGTGGGCGTTCATCGCAATGGGAATTGATGTCTGCGCCTGCCCAGCAGGCTCTTCTGTGCGCCTGGGCGCTGCCACACGATGCGATGTGGGCGGCAGGATCTCGTTGCTGATGCGCCGCGAATAGAGTTCTCCGAGGTGATCATGATCGGGCTCGCAGAGGCACGGGACGGATCCACTTGCCTGTGGCCGTGTTCAGCACCTGGAGGCCATCGAGCGCGATGGCTGTGCCAAGGTCCTGATGATGTCCATGTCCTCATGACCGAACACCTGGCCAGCTCCCAGAGGCTCGTTGCCACCCACCACGAAGTAGTAGTTGAGCCTGAGATCACAGCATGCGTTGTTCAGCCGAGCATCGGGTTTTGTAGGCTCATCACCTAAGTCTTCGAGAATCACGTGCGAAAGCGGCTGCACCAAACACAGGTATGCTTCGACGAAATCACGCCAGAACTGTTCGTCTGCAACCACTGGCCAAAGGCTCCAGAGGTGATCCATTGATCCACTGCCAGACGCGAAAGAGCGCATGCAAAATACTGCGACTGCGACGCACCTAGCGTACCCTGTGAGTGCCGCGGGTGAGGGACCGAAGCGCCCTCAACCGGATCAGGCTGCACGTTCGAAGTCTTGCGCACGCCGGAGCGCCCCTGCTTCACTTGTCCCTCTTGCGGGCGTCGAAGCGCTACAGTCGGGACGCTGACCTAAGGAACCCTAAATACGGAACGAGGCCCCTTTTTCCCAAAAGTAAGAATTTCGATGTTTCCCTACCTAGGCTCTGCCTAGAAGGGTTCTTACTCTCTAGCTTAAAGGGGCCGGGCAGTGGAAAGCGCCCCGGGCGGTTCCCCCAGTCCCCTGGGAGCCAAGCAAAAGCAACAGCAAAGGTAAAAGCAAACGCGCGGTTCCCCCAGTTGCGCTCCCTGGGTGCCAAGCAAAAGCAAAAGCAAAGGCAAAAGTGAAGGCAACAGCGAAGGCAAAGCAAAAGCATAGCATAGCATAGCATAGCATAGCGCAGCATAGCATAGCGCAGAATAGCATAGCGCAGCATAGCATAGCATAGCATATCATTGCCTAGCCTAGCCTAGCCCAGCATAGCATTGCGCAGCATAGCATAGCATAGCATAGCATAGCAGAGCAGAGCATAGCAGAGCAAAACATAGCATAGCGCAACACAGCATCCACTACTGCTGCTGCTGCTGCTGCTGCTGCTGCTGCTGCTGCTGCTGCTGCTGCTGCTGCTGCTGCTGCTGCTGCTGCTATATGTATATATATATGTACTATATAGATATGTGTGTGTGCGCACGTATGTTCCATGCTACTACTACCGCTACTGTTACAACTACGACGATGAGGAGAAGGAGGAGGACGGCGTTTACCGCTCCTAGTAATGTTGCTTTCCTAGAGGCTCCAACTCCTAGGTAGGGCCGCACTGGAATAATTTAAAGGAAAGCCTCAGGGACAACTAAGGCGAACTGCACAACAATCAAGGAAAACCGAGCCTCTCCCCAACGAAAAGGGATCCTTCTTCAGGGCCCCGACTGTACCTAAACTCGCGCGGGCTGCTCAACGGAGGGCTGTGCCACCTTTCCGTGCGTTCGCGCCGGCAGCTCGTCGTCCGCGTCATGGCCAGCCGGTCACCGCACAGCCCACGGTCCGCACCGACATGATGAGCTAGTCTCCGCACGTCGGGGGCGCTGGCAGCAGGGAGCTGCGCGTCGCGTACGGCCACTGCTGACTCCCTCGACTCATACAGTCGGGGCGTTGACCTCAAGGAACCCTAAATAAGGAACGAGGCCCCTTTTTCTCAATAATTAAACTGCGATTTCCGACCGAAAATATATGGAAAACCTGAGGCAAGCTGTGAAACACTTAAGGAACGCGGAGCCCCTCCCCAACGAAAAGGGTTCCTTCTTCATGGCCCCGACTGCATTCGTCACCTTCTTGCTCCACAGCCTGGACTCCGAGACCAGCTCGCGCTCTGCCGCAACAGGTCTCTCCTGGACTGCACGCGGGCTGAGCTTACATCTGCACGCGCTGTGGCGTAGCAGCTCGCCGAATGCAGCGGACACGCTCGTCTGGATGCAGATGGCAAGTGCCCAGCGCACGGATGCAGCAGCACGATGCCAGCGAAGAAGCGAGCCAATCGCGACCGATTGCGAGAGAGAAATCCCAGCGAGCAAAGCCCTAACACAGATTTGGGGTGAAAATGCCTGCGAGAGAGGAGGGAGAAAGAGGTGGAGACGGAGGAGCAACAGACAGAGGCGGAGGGCAGGGAGAGATTGGAAGGGAAGAAGGAGGGGGGGGGGAGGGGAGCATCCCGATAACCCCACGAGCTCCCGAGACCGCCCCCAAACCCCCAAGAGGTAACCCCAAGATGCCTCCAAAAGACCCCACAAGGGCAACGCGATGACGATGCAATGCTGCAGCCGTCAAGCGACGCAGCGTCGGCACGATGCTCCCCCACGAGCACGCGAAGCCGATGTGCTCGACAGCGCAGCTGGATGCATCCAGCGAAGGCAAAGCAGTGGGCGACGAACGCACAACACACCCTCATAGTCATAGGGGGCTGATCCGCGCCTCGCGATTTGAGGCCACGCTATAGGTACGGGATCGGGTTGACGGACCCCGAGTGAGGCCCCCGTTCGAGCGAGAACCCCCCTCCGACAACACGCCCCCCCCCCCCCGAATTCCACCCCGAGACAGCTGGAGGCCGCATAGGTATAGGTACGGGTGCCAGTTGTCAGATCGTGAGGTCGGGGTTGGGCGCGGTTAGAAGAAAAAAACAACATGAACATAAACTTGTGGCGCTCCGCGCGGATCTCTTGGATTCGCTCCTGGGCCCCCGGGGCGGCGACTCCGGCGCCGCCCCTGGCGCGCTCCGCGCGCCAGGGAGGAGGGTCCAGCGCGCATCCAAGAAATCCGCGCAGGGCGCCAAAAGATTATGTTTATGTGTTGTTTGTTTTTCTTTCGGCGGTGGACGAACCTCCCCTTGGTAAACCACCCTTTAGTGAAAGCGGCCTAAGACCGAAACCGACGGACCTGGACCCGCAAAAATGACGGCCGCAACGCCCCCATGCGAACCGAAAATGGCCAATCCGCGAATCGGCTTGTCAGGGCAGAAGGTCTACCAACCTGCGACTCTTCTAGCGGTCCCGGACACGTTCAGCACGCGCAGCCGCGGCAGCTCGCCCAGCGGAGCCAGCGCCCGCTCGTCGAGCCGGTTGCCCGAGAGGTCCAGCTCGCGCAGCAGGTCGCAGGAGGCCACGGCGCCCAGGCCGCGGAGGCAGTTGCCCGTGAGGGAGATCACCTCGACCCCGCTGGGCACCTGGCGCGAGAGCGGAGGAGCCCCCCCCCGCCCGCTTGCTCCCCCCTCGCCCCCCCGCCCCTCCGTCCTCCTCCTCCTCCTCCTCCTCCTCCGCCTCCTCCTCCTCCTCTTCCTCCTCCTCCTCCTCCTCCTCCTCCTCCGCCTCTTCCTCCGCCTCCTCCTCCTTCTCCTCCTCCTCCTCCATCCTCCTCCTCCTCCTCCTCATCCTCCTCCTCCTCCTCTTCCTCCTCCTCCTCCTCCTCCTCCGCCTCCTCCTCCTCCTCCTCCGCCTCCTCCGCCTCCTCCGCCGAGCCCCGGGCTGCCAAGTGGCCCGGGCTTCGCGCGCCGCCTTGGGAGGGGGTCCCCCGCCTGGGGCTTGCGGGGACGCTGGCCCGTCTCGAGCCTCGGGCGCCCTCCATGTCTGCTCGGGGATGGGGGTCCTGCTCCTTCTGCTGCCTGCAGATGCTGCTGCTGCTGCTGCTGCTGCAGCTGCTGCTGCTGCTCACTCAACTTCTTCCTCCTCCTCGTCCTCCTCCTCCTCCTCCTCCTCCTCGTCCTCCTCCTCCTCCTCCTCCTCCTCCTCGTCCTCCTCCTCCTCCTGGTTGACCATGGGCGCTGATGGCATCAGGAATCCATGGAAGGGTGCTGCCATCCCCGTCCCAGCGGTCGTTGCCGCTGGTGGAGGGCGATCAAACTAGGAAATCCGCATGATAAGCGAAAAGGAAACACCAGGGACAGAAGGAGGACCTCCCATGGGGGGCTGGGCAGCTACGTCCTGGGCATCCCCTTGGGGACGGGGCGAGCGACGACACGGCGCGGACGGAGGGCTGCGACTAAACCCTTGAGGATACGGGAGGGCATGAGGGAGGTGGCGGCAGCTGGCGAGTGGCAAAACGCTGCTGGCCGCAGTGGCAGAACGGAAAGATGCGTACACAAGGCTTCGGGCTGGGTGAGCTGAAAACTAGCTGACAGAAGTGAAACGTAGATGAGTTGAGGCGAACCCTTCGCAATTGACAATCACACCCCATCATCTCTCTGGAGTGGCGGCGCCTATCTGGCTGTCGGGCAATGATGAAGCACTGACAGGTCTGGCATGTTCTCACTTGCGTACGCAAGTCCTCCTCCTCCTCCTCCTCCTCCTCCTCCTCCTGCCCCTCTTCCTCCCATCGCCTGGAAGCCCCAGGGGCCCGGCCCTCCTGCCTCCTCCTGCTCCGTTCCTCCATCCAAACGCACCCCGCACCCACATCCTGCCTGCGACCTGTCCGCAACATGCCCGGCAACCCGCTTGATCGTACAGCTGCACCGTGCGCAGAAACCCTGAGCACCATCCGCGCTGAAAGGCCCGAGCGGCACGGCACACCCGACACGGACACGGACACGGCGCGGCACAGATCGCGGGGCGGCAAGCTTCTCGCATCCTGAAGCTCCGGCACGGCACGGCACGCCACGCCACGCGGGCGGCACTTTTTCGCAGCCTGGCACTTCGGCATGGCACGGCACGAGCAGGCGCGGCACGGCTCGGCACGCCGGCGGCACATGCTCGCGCACGCTGCAGTCCAGCACGGCACGGCACGGCCTCGCGGGCGGCGCCTTCTGCGCACTCCAGAGCTTCGGCACGCCACGGCATTGCACGTGCATGGCGCAGCACCCAGAGGGCAAACAAGTGGCATCCTGGCACGCTGGCGCGGCGAACGGCACGGCGCCGCACGGGGAGGGCACGTGTTTACGCATCCGCGCATTCCTAGAACTTCGGCACCGCGCCGCACGGCAGACGGGCGGCAAGCCTCTCGCGATGCAAAACTGCGGCACGGCACGCGGGCGGCACACCTTTGCACATCCTCGCACTCTGGCCCGGCACGGCCCGGCACGCTGGCGGCAAATGTTGTACGTGGCATTGCTGCCACGCCGGTGCGGCACGGCACGGCGCGCGGGCGGCACATCTTCCGCAGCCTGAAACTCCCGCACGTCACGGCACGGCACGCGGGCGGCACAACTCTCGCATTCTGGACCTTGGGCACGGCGCGCGGGCGGCCCAGTTTTCGCATTGCAGAACTTCGGCGCGGCACAGAACGGCGTGGCAGAGCAAGCGGGCGGCACACGCTTGCGCACTTCGGCGGTCTAACATTTACGCGCGGCCAGGAGCGGCAAAGCACGCGGACGGCACAGCTCCATATTCTAGAACTTCGGCACAGCACGGTACGGCAGGCGGGCAGCACATCTGCTGCAGTCCAAAACTTTGGGACGGCATGGCACGCGGCCGCCACACTTCTTGTGCTCTGATAGGACAAGAAGAATCTATTGACACAACGTGCTATTGATACGTTCCGGAAATTCCGGGATTTCTAACAGCCTTCGCGCGGGGTACACCTGGCGTCGAGTTTTGTCTACTCTGGCTGGCGCCGCTGGTCAGTCAGCCATTCGCAATCGAGTGGTCGCCCGTAAAGGGCTATTTGGCAATTGCTGACCCCCCCCTCTCGTTGCCGAGCGCGGAGGGGACGGTGGCGCACCGTCCCATCGCCCGCCGCCGCGCACCGCGCGCCTCGGCGGATCCCCAAAGACCTGGCAAGGCAAAGCATGCTCGACTCTGGAAAATTCCCCGGGGGTAAAATGGAACAGTCTGGGAACATGTTTGAACATGTCCGGCCTACTTTTTGAAATTTTCCGGGATCGTTTTTGAAAATTTCCGGGGTCGATTTTGAAAATTTCCGGAATCCATTTTGAAAATTTCCGGATTTCGGAACTCTTCAGATGTCCTGCGCGGCGGGCGCATTCCACCCCTCAAAACTGTTTTTTGAAAATTTCCGGGCTTCTTTTTGAAAAATTCCGGAACCGCTTGCGCGGAAAAAAGCGGAAGCGTTTTCTGACACACTCTACAATCCAGAAATAATGTCCGGGCGGTCCGACGGGCGCGGACGGCTGATTCACGCGCCGCGCCGCGCGCGATTGGGCGCAGCGCGCGCCGCGCGTTGCACCCGCGAACAGCACTCGAAGGGGCTACCTCGAAAACAGCGCCACGGCAGCTGCGACTCGCGGACTCCCCAAAAGCAACACAGCATGCAACTTGGAATCTTCGAAGGCGCTCCGGTGCGCGAAAAACGCACCGCGAACATCACGCAAAAAACCTGCGCGACGGAATGCGCTCGACCATTCGTCCCTGAAACCCCCGCGGAAGAACAGGAAAACCTGGAAATCTGGAAAACTATCAATATCAATACTTCATGCTCCTCTGATCTGAATCCTAGGCACTGCCCGCACTGGCATGGCACGCGGGCGATACATTTCCTCGCACTCTGGAACTCCAACACGGCACGGCACGGCACGCAAGCAAAACACATGTCGCCACATGTCTGGAACTCCGGCGCACGACGCAGAAAACGCAGAGAATTTCGGCACGCCGCGGCGCGCGGGCAGCACACTTTCCGTCGCTTTCTGCGCAGTGTCGGCACGGGCGCTGCACGGCACGGCAAAGGCGCGCGGGGGCGGCACGTGTTCCGCACACCACCATTTTTGTTCACGCGTGGGCTCGCCGTCGCTCGCCAATTACGTCCCCACGACCTGCAAGAGACGACCAGCCGACCACCCAGGCATGCCACAATGAAGGGGTCCAGGGACACACAAATAGATATATTTTTTTGTTTGCGGCCCGCAAGGAAAGTCCAGAGGGCGGTGTGAAACACAAATAGATACACGCCAATCTCAGGATTCTTTTCCAATTTTTTTTAGGGGGGGGGATTTTCGTCTTCCCCCCCCCCCCCCCCCATATTTGCCCAGATTTCCCTGGGAGTCGACGATAAATTGTGTCTGTGTGTTTCTTTCCCCTCCTGACACAGACTCGGCGCCATCGTCGGGCTCGCCCTCGCCCGTGGAACTCGGGCACGCCAACGTACACATATCGGGCCGGGCAAAAAGGAGGGATAGTAAGGGGGGGGGTGAGAATCAGCTCACGTAGCTGATTTTCCCGGCGCCTCCCGGCGCCGGAGGCGGCCATGTATCGAGGAATGGGCCCCTCGGTGGGGCTGAAACCAGCTGCATGCAGCAGATTTGGTACCCCCCCTTTCCCTATCCCCCCCCTTTCGTCTGGCCCGAACATATGCGCTCTTCCTGCGACCAGCCTGCCGGCAAAGGTGCACGAACTCCTGGGCCCATCCTGGGCCCACGCGCGGCGCATACGCTTTATGGCTTGGCCAGGCAGGCCTATGCATCGATCCCAGGCCCAGGATCGCCTTGGCCAGAGGCGCTGGATATGAACAGATCTCGTCGCCGCGTACAGTCGGGCTTGATTGGAGAGAGCACGCGAGAGGACACAGGACCCTTCCGAAGGCCACATCGCCATAGGAGTGTGAGAAGGCACGTGTCGCGAGGCACAGGACACAAGGGTAATTACCCTTGAGCTGGCAGGGTCGACCTACTGATCCGGGCCGACTGTAGCATCTGGCTCATCTTGACCATCGGCAGCTGCGGTGAACGAATGATCTTGGGCGGAGCCGTCGCTGGAAATATATGCTCACGACCCGCGTGCGCCCCGCGGCCGATGCACCCGCGACCCGCCCGCTTCGTCTCCGGGTTGGGCTCCTCTCTCGCTTGAGCAGACCTGGGGGCCTCAACAGAGCCAGGCCCGTGACCGGCTCTGCCCCCCCCCGCCCATCCCGAGGGTCACGTCGCGATTCGCGCCACCGCCGTCTGGGAACAAGCTATTCTCAGCAATTCCCAGATGGCGCCCGCGCGAATCGTGACGTGACCAGACTCCTCCCACCCTCCCCCCCGGTCACAAACGTTACCGCCAGGGGATGAAAAAACGGTGTGCGCGCTTGAGCAAAACTGAGGGCCTCAATACATGCCTGGGTTCTGAGAAACGCCTCAAACCAACCTACGACCGCTGAACGGGCGGAGGCTGGAGACTACGCGTCGGGCCAGCGTTTGCTGCTTCGCCTCCAACCCCTGGCCCTGGAGCCCCCCCTGGCCTGTCGGCCTCGCCCACGGAGAGAGGCAAGAGGACCGGCTCCGCACGGGTGTTTCTTTTCATCGACCGCCGTGAGGCAGAAGTCCCGCGCTGCTTGAGCGCCTGCCCCCCTCCTCCTCCCCCTCCCTCCTCCCCCTCCTCCTCCTCCTCCTCCTCCTCCTCCTCCTCCTCCGCCTCCTCCCTCTCCTCCTGGAGCCTCGTTGATCCGCCGGATGCCGAGCCCGTCCAGGCGCAGCTCCGTCTGGGCCATCGCCTGGCCGCGGCCGCCCGCGCCCGCGCGCGCGGGCGAAGCCGGCGCGCGCCGGCTGCCTGAGCCAAAATGGCTGCGCACGAGCACGGGCACTAAGTTAACAGGAGCACACGTACGGAGCATCGCTGCCAGGTGCAACATGTCGTGGAGACCTTTGGGTGTTGGCACTGCTCCTGTGCAGCGTGGCGTCGGGTGTGCTCTGTAAGGCTGGGGCCAGGAGCGGCGCCACTGCCCCAGCAAAGGCGGGCGGGGGAGGCGGGATGATGGAGGGAGTGGGGGGGGGCTACTTTTGGAAGAGGGGGCGGGGAACACGGAGCGAGAAAGGGAGAAAGGATCGAACAGGGAGGAAGAAATCAAATGGATTGGAGCTGAAGGGAGGGGGGAGGCAGGAGGGAAGGGGGAGGAGACAGTCACGGGCAGAGGGTGAAGTGCAAGAGAGGAGAGAGGGAAGAGACAGAAAAGCTAGGCGCGGCCGCGCAAAATCTGGCATCCGACCCCTCCCATCCATCTCGTCACATTGCGCTGAACTCTTTTTATATCGGCCAGCTGGCGTGTCCTAGATGACCTTGATCCTCGAAGTGAACCCATCCTGTGATGCACAATCACAAAGGGGTGCTCTGTATATTGGACGAGGAGGAGGTGGCGGACGAGCAGAAGGACGATCAAGAGAAAAAGCGGGATGAGGAAGGAGAAGGAGGAGCAGCAGCAGCAGAAAGAGCATGAACACGACGATTAGCTCAGATTCGCAGTTGGATGCAAGAACGGATCATCATTGGTGGAGGGAAACCGACTCAAGACCCACAACAAGGGAAGTGTAGAGAACCCGCATACCTGTCTCGTGGCCCACGATGAAGCGATAGCGCACGTCTGAACGAATGGAGGCAAGCGCAGATCCTGAGATGAGGCCAGCGTTGCAGCCGGAACACGGTCCGATTGAAACACGCCGAATCAATCAAGTTGTGAAGTCCTGCGCAGGAGAAACAATAGGCGGAAGGGAGGCTCTCCCTAACAATACAGCAGCAGGGAAGAAAAGAGAAGAGAACTGTGCTCACAGTGCGTAACTTATTAAGAAGGGGCGGGCTGGGGGGGGAGGGAGTGGCCACGGTAAAGGCGAGAACGGCGATGGGAGGGGGGAAGGCAGAGGGGAGGGAAGGGTTATTGGGGGGATGAGCGAGCGAGGATAGGTGAGGGGAAGAACAGAGGAGCAGGAGAGGAGGGGATGGAAGGGATGGGAGGCCAGGGAAGGGAAGGGGGGAAGGAGAGGGGAAGCAGGCAAACGAAGTATGCTCACGCCATTGAAAAGCCCATGGTTCACTAGGGACTGGTTGCCCCCCCAAAAAGAAGAAACATCTTCCTAAATCCTCCCGGAATCTCCATACATCGGCCCAATGAGTTCCTTGAATTTTCGTCACATCGCTCGCTCGCGGAAGCCGACGGAAATAAAACGAGGCGGAAGGCGGCGGAAGGCCGTCGGAAGGCTTGCGGAAGACAGCGGGGGTGAATGACGCCCCGTCCGAGCCCCCCTCCCCCGTAGAAGCCTAAAATGAAGTCTTCTGCCGTGGGCCCGGCGGGATCCCGCCCAACTCACTCCCCCTTTAATATGATAATGGTCGTTCGGCCAGGCTTACTTCCCACCCAGTCAGTCGGGTAAACAGATAATTATCCCGAGTCGTTCACAGATCCCGCCATGCTAGGTGCTAGGATCGGCTCGAAGTAAGTTTGGGCCCCGAAGTAGTTGCATTCTTGGCGTGGCAGGGTCGTCTTGAGGTCATCCTGAGATCACACTTCGATCGTGCTTGGATCGCGCAGCCGTCGCGTGCCCATTCTGGGGCCACCCGGGGCGCGCGTGGGTCCATCTTGTTGCCATCGGGCCATCTCGGCGTCACGCGTGGCTCCATTGTTTGGTCATCTTCGGTTCGGCCTGAGACGGTCCACAATCCATGGCGGGGTCGTGTTGTGGTGGCGTCATCCCAGGGTCGGCTGCAGGTTATCGCCTTTGGCCGCAGGCCTTCCTGGAACCATTGTACGGCCATGGGGGCGTCTTGGGATCGCGCGCGCGAGCGCTCAGCACGCGCGCGCGACAACTCATCTCGCCGATGGGCGTACACACCTATACTTCTTGCTGCGAGTTTCCAAGGAAACTTTGGTTGGAGCCAAGTAAACCCTCCCAGAACCCAGAACCCTTCCCGGAGGGTTTTCGGAGGGTTTGGGGGGGCTCTGGCTGTTTCGAAAGGAAACCAGTCCCTAGCGAACCCTCGACTTTCTAATCCTACCCCTCCCTCCCGTCCCTTCTCATTGTGCTGATGTATGATCTATCCGCAGACGCGTGTCATAGCCGACCTGGAGCTCTAAAACAGACGCGATCGTGTCATGCGCAGTCGGGGACTGGGAGCTGCGTACATGGGAGGAGGGAGGAGATGGTGGGTGAGCAGGAGGAAAAGGAGGAGGGTGAGGAAAGAGGAGAACGAGGACGTGCAGCAGCAGCAGCAGCAGCAGCAGCAACTGGAGTGGAAGGAGTGGGAGGAGCAGGACCCAGAGAAGGCGGAGGAGGAGAAATGAGTGGGGCGACAACGATGGGAAACGACTCGGATCCACAAAAATGGCCAGCGCTGGGGCAAGAGCGCCATTCTGAACGACGGGAGCAAAACGCCGATCCGAAAAGGAGGCCACGCTGCAGCGGGGGCACTGTTTGAAACGGCGAACGATCGGATTGCAAAAACACAATAGGACAATCAATGCTTGAAATCTGGTGTAAAACAAGTGCGCGGATAGGACCCAACCTCTTCAGCACAGAGTCAGCGGAGAGAGGAGAGTAGTACTCAGAAAGTGTGAATCGGGAGGGGCGCAACGAAAGGAGAAGGGAGGGGAGGTGCCGGGTACGGGAAGGGATTCGGCGGGGGGGGGAGGGCACAGGAGAGGAATGGGAGAGGAGTGGAGGCGGAAGGGCGGGGGAAGGGGAGGAGAGGAGGGACGGGGAGCAGAAGGGCGGCGAGGCGAGGGGAGGGGAGAGGTTCCGGAGCACATCAGCAATAAGGCCGCGTCCAACGCCCAGCCCAGCGAGCACGCAGCGGAGGCAACCCACCCGCGCACACGTCTGGCTCTGCGTAAGGGTGGCCCTTGCCCACAGTGAGCCTCTGCTTCTGGGGGGGGATGGGCCTGTTTCCCACCACCGCCACCATAAGCTGGAGGGGAGGGGCCATTCTCCTCCTCCAACTTATGGTGGTGGTGGAAAACAGGCCCATCAGGGGGGGGTTGGGGGAAGCGCCGCCCCCCCCAAAAGGACCCGCCTCCAGGCGCCGACGGGCGCGCCCAGGCGCCCCGCTCGGCCCAGCGCCAGAAGCCCCTCCCCGACGCAAGGGCCCCCATTGCGCACCGCCGAGCCTTCCTCGAAGCAAGCTAGAGACCCCCGGCGAAGCGGAGATTGGCGCCCTGCGCCGCGCCGGCGGGTCACCAGGCGGATCCCAGCAGCGCCGCCGCCGTGGACCCCGCCTCTTGGTTTTGATGTTTTCGTAAGCCCGCGATCCAACGCGGAAGCACTGAGAAAAAAGCCTGGCGAAGAACCCAACCCCAATTGAAGCACGAGGCGGCTACAGGTAGAACCGCTGAATACACGAGAACACATAGATGGATCTGCAGTAACCCTGAACGCTTCGCCAGGGACCTGCCTATGGGGCCACGACGCTGTAGGGGCCGGCCGACATGGTCGGGAGGGGGCATATGTGAAGCCATTGTGGCCTTCGGTGGAACCCCTAGGGTCAACGAAACGTCGTGTGAGGGGTATGACGACATGGTCGGCGGGGCGATATACGAACCCTCATAGTGGAACTTTCGGTGTGGCTACCTGGGGGCCACGAAACGACTGAGGGGTGTGCCGACATGGTCGGGGGGCGGTAGACGAACCCAGGGGGCCACGGAACGTTTGAGGGGTGCGCTGAAATGGTCGGGGCGGCGGCACGTGAACCCCGCGGCTTCAAGCTCGGAAGCATTTCTCCTTACGCCACACCGAGGCCCCAAGAACAACCGAATGACAAACAAGACCTTCAGCGCCGAACCCCGTCCGCCTCAGCGGACATGTGATTCAAACGCCCCCCACATAAATTCTAAACAGGCTGGCGCCTGCGGGGGGGGGGCCACTTGGGTGATCCACTCCTTGTCTTGAAATCGATTAAGGCGAATGGATGGGGCCTGGTTTGGGCGATTCTGTCTGGGACGTCCTCAAAATTTGCTTGGATTGGGCCTTGGCTTGGCCTGGTTTGATCTCGTTCGGCCTGGTTGGGCGGCGCGCCCCGCCTGAGACATCCTCACAATGTGCCTGGTTTGGGCCCTGGTTTGGCCTGGTTTGGGCCCAGTTTCGCATGAGACGTCCTCACACTTTGCCTGGCTTGGCCCTGCTTTGGCCTCGTTTGGACACGGCTTCGCTTGAGAAGTCTTCACAATTTGCCTGCTTGGTTTGGGCTCGGTTTCGCCTGAGACGTCTTCACAATTTGCCTGGTTTGGCCCTAGTTTGGGCCTAGTTTCGCTTGAGACGTCCTCACAATTAGCCTGGTTTGGCTTTGGTTTAGCCTGGTTTATGCACGGGTTCGCCTGAGACGTCCTCGCAATGTGCTTGGCTTGTGCTGGTGTTCGTTCGGATTCGCCTGATACGTCCTCACACCGTGGATGATTTGGCAAATTCGGGGGCGTTCTTCGCTTGGACGTCGTCCTGGGCTGGGGGCAGTGTCGGCGCGTCTGTGGACAAGCGTCGCCTGCGGGACAAGCGTCGCCGCGCGGTCTCAGCCCAAACGGGCGGTGCCTCTTCAAAAATGTCTGTTTGGGGGTGACAGCAGAATGTCCCCCAGAGGGGGTGGCGTTGTCCCCCCTCAGCACTTCCCCCTCCCGAAGAGGGGAAGCGCCGCCCTGGGGGCCTCTCCTGGCTTAGGGGAAAGCGGTCGGCCAGACCGAGACACTAGCCAGCGATGAGGCGAGAGCCAAGGAGTGGCCGACATCTGGGCGAGAGCGCACGTCAACGTCGTCGTCGCCGTAGAATTCGTCGTCAAATTCGTTGTCGTCGTCGTCGTGGTAGTCGTCGTCGCCGGGACCCCAGACGCTCCGGGACACATTGTGCTTTGTCACATGGTGCACAAAAGTGGATACGTCAGTCATTTACACACGTGGTGGGCGAAAACAGTCGTGACGATATGGCCCCAATTGTGCGACCTGTACAACAGGCGAAGTGGGCATGGACATCGATCACATAATTCCTGCTGCTATGCGGCATTGGACCACGTGGCGGCGTTAGGAGGAATCCTTTCCCAGCCTGTAGGGCATTCGATGGAGCTCCCTAGAGGGCGACGGATGAGAGGTGCGCCGAAATCATCGGGGCGGCGGCATGTGAACCCTGCCACTGCGGCCTTCAGTGGAGCTCCCAAGGGGGCCACGAAATATGTGAGGAGCGTACCGAAATGGTCCTGGCGGCGGCATGTGAACCCTGCTACTGGGGCCTTCGGTGGAGCTCCCTAGGGGTCACGACAGGTGCGAGGGGGGTGCCGAAATGCTCGGGGCGGCGGCATGTGAACCCTGCCACTGGGGCCTTCGGTGGAGCTCCCTAGGGGTCACGAAACGTGCGAGGGGTGTGGCGACATGGTCGGGGCGGCGACATGTGAACCCTGCCACCGGGGCCTTCGGTGGAGCTCCCCAGGGGGCCACGAAACGTGCGAGGGGTGCGCCGATGTGGTCGGGCGGCGGTATGCGAACCCTTCTTCTGGGGCCGCAGAACGTGTGAGGGGGGGCGCCGGCATGGACACTAGGCGACGTGCGGACGAGACGTGTGAGGAGTGTGGCGAAAAGGTGGCGAGGATGATAACTGTGGTAAGGATGACGACGACAACGACGACGACGATGCTGATCATGGCGACGGTGATGATGACGATTAAGGATGGTGCTGGCGACAAGGACGAAGAGGAAGAGGAGCAGGAGCAGGGATGAAGAGGAGGAGGGGGAGGAGGAGGGGGAGGAGGAGGAGGAGGAGGAGGAGGAGGAGGAGGAGGAGGAGGAGGAGACGCGCGGCGCTACGAACTCAAGACGAGGACCCAGCACGCTGGAGGGTGAAGGGAAAAACACCGCGAAAGATCAGGACCAGAGCCCTCGACCCGATCTCTCTGCGGCATCTGTCGGGCCAGATCAACCTGTGATGGTCACGGAGCCCGAAGGCGGGCGAAACCGCCTGGCGTGAACAGCTCACCACGCCCGGATCTCAGGGTGAGGCGACCAGCCGACCACAGGACAGACGACGACGACGACGACGACGACGACGACGACGACGACGACGACGACGACGACGACGACGACGACGACGACGACGACGAGGACGACGACGACGACGACGACGACCTGGGGCCCAGCTCCCCCAGCCTGGTCCGTGGTCGGTGGGCCGCCCCGCGGAGGCCAGGGGCCCCCCCGGGAGCAACCCCGAGCAGGCCGCTCGGAGCCCACAGGGCGACTGATTGGCTTGTTTCCCACCACCACCACCATAAGTTGGGGGGGGGGGGGGAGGGGGTCCTCCTCCTCCTCCTCCTCCTCCTCCTCCTCCTCCTCACTCCTCCTCCTCCTCCTCCTCCTCCTCTCCTCCTCCCCTCCTCCTCCTCCTCCTCCTCCTCCTCCTCCTCCTCCTCCTCCTCCTCCTCCCTCCTCCTCCTCCTCCTCCTCCTCCTCCTCCTCCTCTGGCCAGTCTGGCCGGAAGAACTGGTCCCCCAGAGGCTCCCGGAAGACGCCGGGGCACGGCGACGGCAGACGCAGGCTGGAGGCCACTGGATCTCACCCGAAGTGTACACATGCTCGATCGTGGAACGGATAGAGGGCAGCTCCTGTTCAGAGTCGCGCGCACGCCGCCGACCTTCCCGCTGCCCATCCCTCGCGGCGCTTGCGGCGAGGGCTTCTTCCTCGGCCGTGAAAGCGTTGCGTGGGTTCCGCAGTCGGGTTCTCGCCCGACGGGCGCCCGTGGGCGCCTCTCGGGCGCCCCGTGCGATCACCAAGTTCCTTGGGCTTTCGCCCGACGGGGCGCCCTGCTCGCTGGCCGGGTTCTCTGGGCGTCCGCCCGGCAGGCGCCCGGTGGGCGCACCCGTGCGCTGACCGGGCTCTCTGAGCTGTCGGTCTTTGGAGGCCGGCCAGTGTTCTCGGTCGCACCTTGTGTATATCCCAGGCAAGGCTGAACTGCACTTCGGCTGCACGTAAAGATGTGGCCCTGGGCACGGGTGACCTCTGGTGCGCGGCTGTTTGGGGCGTGGGGGAGCCAAACCCAAGCGCGCGGGCCGCTGCTATCTCATCGCGCTCCGCAATCGGGGGGGCCCGGTGGGCCCGCACCAAGGTCATGCTGGCGAAGGGCCACTCTCACGTGGAGTCCGCGTGGGGTCCGGCGTCCCCAGTAGACAAGGGTGTTTTTCCCAACCCTCCTGTGTTGGGTACTCGTTTTGAATAGAGCAGTGTGGTCGCCCCGTCCTTCCTTCCTTCCTTCCTTCCTTCCTTCCTTCCTTCCTTCCTTCCTTCCTTCCTTCTCCTCCCCTCTCCTCCCCTCCTCCTTCTCTCCTGTTTCCGGTGTTCCCCTCTCCTCTTCCCTCGTGCCGTCGGGCTGCGAACTGTGCAACTGTCGCCACTTTCGTGGGCTCCTGGGAGGCCCAGCGGAGGTGGGTCCCACGCGGATCACCTCGGTACCTCGCCGCCCCCTGGGGGGCTTGCGATCTGCGCAACTGTCGCCACTTTCGTGGGCTCCTGGGAGGCCCAGCGGAGGTGGGTCCCACGCGGATCACCTCGGTACCTCGCCGCCCCCAGGGGGGCTTGCGATCTGCGCAATTGTCGCCACTTTCGTGGGCTCCTTGGAGGCCCAGCGGAGGTGGGTCCCACGCGGATCACCTCGGTACCTCGCCGCCCCCAGGGGGGCTTGCGATCTGCGCAATTGTTGCCACTTTCGTGGGCTCCTGGGAGGCCCAGCGGAGGTGGGTCCCACGCGGATCACCTCGGTACCCCGCGCCGCCCCCTGGGGGGCTTGCGATCTGCGCAATTAACGAAACTTTCGTGGGCTCCTGGGAGGCCCAGCGGAGGTGGGTCCCACGCGGATCACCTCGGTACCTCGCCGCCCCTTTGGGGAACTTGCGATCTGCGCAACCGTCGCCACTTTCGTGGGCTCCTGGGAGGCCCAGCGGAGGTAGGAGGTTCCACGCGGACCACCTCAGTACCTCGCCGCCCCCTGGGGGGCTTGCGATCTGCGCAATTGTCGCCACTTTCGTGGGCTCCTGGGAGGCCCAGCGGGAGGTGGGTCCCACGCGGATCACCTCGGTACCTCGCCGCCCCCTGGGGGGCTTGCGATCTGCGCAATTGTTGCCACTTTCGTGGGCTCCTGGGAGGCCCAGCGGAGGTGGGTCCCACGCGGATCACCTCGGTACCTCGCCGCCCCCTGGGGGGCTTGCGATCTGCGCAATTGTCGCTACTTTCGTGGGCTCCTGGGAGGCCCGGCGGAG